TGTGTCTGTGTTAATTGGTTTCCCTTTTCTTTGTTGAAGAGGGTCTGTGCAATCCTTCTGCCTAGTCCGCCATCTTGCCCCGCCTCTCCTTCATCGTTGCACTCCAATATTTTTAAAATCCATTCATCCATATTTTTACTCACTCTATAAACTTTTATTGAGATCACACTAGACAGGAATTACTAAATAAATACACAAAATTAGAAGATTTTTTTCCAAGAAGAACCAAATATTTTGAGAAAGAAAATCTGCTAAGTTCCACGGTAGGACAGAGCAACATGTGCTAACACAATTTAGAGAAAGAAGAAACTGCTTTTTGACTTGGCAGGGAGTGGAGACAATGATTAGGAAATTAAATGTTAGGTAGGATTTTATACAGATTGTATTGTATTGGAGAAAGGGTGTCTTAAACACCAGAAAAGGGGGGGGGGGAAGTCCAGATAAGTTAATTGCCATATTTGTTAAGTATTGCAATACCAATATAAACAGTGTAGAGTTTAGTTCAATAGATAATGGGGAGCATTTCAAAATTGAACTGACAACATTAACAAGTATGAGTTATGTTTTAAGACAATTATGGTTTGATGGTGAAGGAGACTGAACAGTCAGGATAAAGGATGATGAGCACTTAAAATTGATAGAAATAATTCCTATGGGAAGGAGAGAGGTTGTGTTTGATAGTACAAATTTGTCTGGGAAGAATAGTTGACTGAATATAGAAGAAAGGAAATCAAAAGTAGCCTCAAGATTATAAATCTAAATATTCTTGGTAATGGAGTGGTGATGAAATAATCAAATAGAAAGAGAGAGTATCAGTTCATTTTGGATAGTTTGAATTGAAAGTGTTGGGAGGATATCTGGTGAAAATGTTTATCAAGTTATTTGAAATACAAAAATGAATTCAGAAGAGGCCAGAGAAAACAACGTATTGATTTGAACTGGGCCCAAATAAAGGAGATAACTGGAATCACGGGCTAAGACCAATTTCATTGGTTTCTGACTTGTGCAGCAGCACGTGTTCCCATTCTGTGAAAGCCACCACACTTGATTTAGTATTCTGCTGTAATTCTCTTCAAATTCTTAATAATTTTCAAGTATGGGCTCCATATTTTCACTTTGCACTGGGACTCACAAATTATGCAGTTGGTCCTTTAGCTCTGAAAGATTGACAATGGAAATAATATAAAAAGAAGAGAAGAAGAGATTCAGACACATTTGGGATTTTTTTTCTATCAACATGTCAGAAACAAAAAGAAGACCAAAAAAGACAGAAACTTAGTGTCCTAGGAAATTCCAAATATATTTGGGTGAGTACTATGATTGTGTAGATACAAAGAAACTTTTACAGGGATAAAATGATCAGAGTACATTATATACCAAACAAAACATTTAAGATTTGTGATTCTCAAGATGTTTAAAATGTTCTCTGGGTCTAAAAAAAATGGAAAAGGAAAAAAAGTCTAAAATAAAATAAAAGGATGGTCATAAGATTGGTCATAAGATTTAGCAGATGACTTACGTTTTCCTTCTAGTTGCCACCGATGAGGCTGAGATATGGAAAGGAATAATGGTACATCAACCACAGATTTCATTCTCTTGGGCCCCTTCTTTGGGTTTCAACGTGTCAACCTTGTGGTCTACCTCATCCTTCTGGTTTATTTCATTGCCCTCACAGGAAACTCTGTTCTCATTTTCCTGATCTGGGTGGATTTCCACCTCCACACTCCCATGTACTTCTTACTCAGCCAGCTCTCCCTTATTGACTTGGTCTACATCTCCAGCTCTGTTCCTAAGATGGCCATCAATCATTGGTTAGGAAAACATACCATCTCTCACATTGGCTGTGGAGTCCAGATGTTCTTCTGCCTTACTCTTGGTGGTGCTGAGTGTCTCCTCTTAACTCTTATGTCCTATGACCGATATGTGGCTGTTTGTAACCCACTGCGCTACCCAATCATCATGAGCCCTAAGGTTTGCTTGCTAATGGCTGCAGTGTCATGGGCAGGGGGTGCTCTAAATTCACTCATTCAAACCAACTACACAATGCATTTCCCTATTTGTGGACTGAAAGAGATCAATCACTTCTTCTGTGAGATGCCTGCCATCCTGAAGTTATCCTGTGAGGACACTTTGAATTATGAGATGATGGTGTCCGTGGTAAGTGTTGCATTTATTCTCATCCCCTTTAGCATCATAATATCCTCCTACATTCGTATCTTCCTAACTGTTCTCCGAATGAATTCTCCTGAGGGGAGAAACAAAGCTCTGGCCACATGCTCTTCCCATTTGATTGTAGTGAGTCTCTACCTAGGTCCAGGCATAGTGGTCTACATGACACCTGGTTCCTCCCACACTCCAGAGCTGGATCAAGGTCTTTCCATGTTCTATACCATCCTCACCCCCATGTTGAACCCCATTATCTACAGCCTGCGGAACAAAGAGGTGATGGAGGCTCTGAGAAATGTCCTAAAGAGGAACCTTATATCAAAATAGTTTAAAAAACACTACTGCCACACTTTATATCTAAAATAGTTCCAGTCCAGAAATCAAAGTTCCTGGGTTACATATTTTTTTCTGCTACAGTTTCAATGAAGGCACATAGATTATTTTAGTATCGGTTCATTAAGTCTTCAACTATCTTAATGTGTTTTAAGCAACTGATTTATTTCAGTAGAGTGACTTTCATAGAAACATTTGGAGAAGGAAGATTTTTCAGTGAATAAGCTCCTATGCTGGAGACCACATGATAAAATTGTGTAAGACCAATGACTTATTCATTGCAAATACATTTTTTTCAACAACATATATGGTTACTACACACATATACCTTGCCAGATGAAATACACAGGAATCAAATTGACAACACTTATAGAAAGAGGTGATGGAGAAACTCAATACCATCAGTTAGAATGAGGTCTGGTGCTGAATGTGGAATAGACTATCAATTGCTCAGATGCTAGTTCAAATTGAAGCTAAAGAAAATTCAAACAGGTCCATTAGAGCCAAAATACAATCTTGAGTATAACCCACCTGAATTTAGAGATGGTCCAAAGATTAGATTTGATGCATTGAACACCAGACAGGTTGTCAGATGACATCAAGGACATCATACATGAAGCAATCAAATGGTCATTAAAAAGACAGGAAAGAAAGAAAAGACCAAAATGAATATCAGAAGATTCTCTAAGACTTTCTCTTGAATGTAGAGTAGCTAAAGCAAATGGATGAAATGATGGTATAAAAGAGCTGAATAGATTTCAAATGGTGACTTGAGAATACAAAGTAAAGTATTATAATGAATGTGCAAAAACTTGGAGTTAGAAAATCAAGAGAGAAGAAGATTCTTGGCATTTCTAAAGCTGGAGGAGCTGAAGAACAAATTCAAGCCTCAAGTAGCAATATTGAAGGATTCTATGGGCAAAAAATTGAACCAGCAGGAAGCATCAAAGGAAGATGGAAGGGATATACAGAGTCACTGTACTAAAAAGAATTGGTCAATGTTCAACTCTTTCAGGAGGTAGCCTATGATTAAAAAAACAATGGTATTGAAGGAAGAAGTCCAAGATGCATTGACAGAATTGTCAATAAACAAGGCTCCAGGAGTTGATGGAATATCCACTGAGATGTTTCAACAAATGGATGAAGTGCTAGAGGAACTCACTTGTTTATGCCAAGAAATTTTGAAGACTGATACCTGGACAATCAACAGGAATGCATCTATATTTGTTCCCATTCTAAGAAAATGTAATCCAACAGAATACAGAAATAATTGAAAAATATCATTAATATCACACAAATAAAATTTTGCTGAAGAAAGTTAAAAAAAAAAAAAAGTTGCAGCAGAATATTAACAGGGAACGTCCAGAAATTCAAGCCAGATTCAGAGAGGATATGGAATAGGGATATAACTGTTGATGTCAGATGGCTCTTGGCTATAAGCAAATACCACCAGTGTGGAAGTTATGTTTGTGTGTCAACTTGGCTGGGCCTTGTTGAGTGGCTGGGCAGCTGGTGGTAGTTATTCCCCATGATGAGACTGGCAATCAGCTCCATGGTGGGATCTACCACAAGCAGCTGAGTAGCTACCTTTGGGAATGTGGTCTGCTTCCTGTATTTAAGGAGAAGCCTCAGGAATGGTCTCTAGCCTATGGCATGCTTGGACCCTGCATGTAGCTGTGTTGTTGCTTAGCAGCCTGCTATGCTCTGCCAACTTTGGGTCATACAATGGACTTAAGTTAATGGTCTGCCGTGTGGTTTGGTAACATCAGGTCTGTGCTTTTTTACTTGTCAACCTTGGGGTTTCTCAGCCTCAGCAGCCAACAGCTGTCTGAGTGAAGAAATGCCTCTAGCTCCAGTGAGCTGGGAGCAGGAGGCAGAGCTGGACCCCAAGGTTGAGGGGCTTTCACCCAGCCCCTAGAGCCTGGCACTTTGAACTTGGACTTAAAGCCTCCAAATCATAAGAATAAACTCCTGTTTGTTAAGGCCATCCCTTGTAGTATATTTCTTGTCAGAGAGGCACTAGGTAACCAGAACAACCAGGAAGATGTTTACCTGTGTTTTCTTGACTATGCCAATGACATTCAACTATGTGGATCATAACAAATTATGGATAATATTGTGGGGAATGAAAATTCCAGAACACTTGAAGAACTTACTGATGAAGATCAGATACTACATTCTTTCTTTGTCTTTGGTTTTGGTGAGTTTGATGATGATATGTCTTAGTGATTTTCCTTTGGGGTCTATCCTGTTTGGGGTTCATTGGGCTTCTTGAATGGATATATTCTCATCTTTCATCATACCAGGAAAATTCTCTTTGAACAAATCTTCAATAATTTTTTTCTGTGGTTTTGTTTGTCTCTTCCTGTTCTGGAACTCCAATTACATGTAGGTTATTTCTTTTGATGGTTTCCCACATGAACCCTAGAATTTCTTCATTTTGTTTTGATCGTTTTTCTGAATGATCCCTTTCCAAAGAAGTATTGAGGTATTTGCCTTCAATCTGACTAATTCTGTCTTCCACTGATTCAATTCTGCTCCTTTGCCCGTTCAATGTGTTATCTATTTCTGAAAATTTAGTATTAATTTTCTGGATTTCTGCCTGTAGATTTTGTATCATTTCTAATTTTTCATTTATTTTGTCATTTTGTTCTTGTATTTTCTTTGGAAATTATTCAAGGGTTTTAACTGTGTTTTCCTCAGTTTTGTCAGTCTTTCCCCTGATCTGTCTTTCAATTCATTGAGGGTACCTAAATATAATTATTTTGAATTCCTTATCGGGGAGTTCCAATGCTGCATCTTCCTCAGGGATGTATTTTGGGTCTGTGTCCTGGTCCTTTATTTCTCCTGCTTTATCTTGCTTTTTTGTGTGGACTGTGATACTCTGTTGTCTCTGAGGCATTGTGACATTTTTGAGTTTATATTTAATTAGTGCCTAAAGCACTTGACTGCTAACCAGAAGGCTGGCGGTTCAAACCCACCAGCCACTCCTCGGAAGGAAGGTTGGGCAATCCTACTTCCGTAGTGAAACTGCCTCGGAAACCCAAGGAGGGGTCGCTATGAGTCGGGGCCGACTCGACGGCAAATAACAACAACAACAACAACTAAGGCACTTGACTGCTAACCAGAAGGCTGGCGGTTCAAACCCACCAGCCACTCCTCGGAAGGAAGGTTGGGCAATCCTACTTCCGTAGTGAAACTGCCTCGAAAACCCAAGGAGGGGTTGCTATGGGTCAGGGCTGACTCGATGGCAAATAACAACAACAGCAACATTTAATTGGTGAGTGTATGTTGGAGTGACTTGCCCATCCATGATTTGCTTTCTTTGTTTTGTTTGTATGTTATCTACATAAGCAGGGTACTGTGAAGTGCTCCTCTATTCACTTGTTGGCAGCACTTATACACTCACCACCTGTCTCTTTCCCATTGTCAGCCTCTCATATGTCCCTGTTGTCCTTGGCAAATGGAGCCTATTCTTAAGTACCTGGAATCTGAATGAGAATGCTGTCACTTCAAAATCCGGAATGGCCACCAATTGTAAAGATTCAAAATGGCTGCACCCTCGGTCACTTTAAATATCCAAAATGGCCACCTCTTGTAAACAATCAAAATGGCTGTGTCCTCTGGACAGCCAAAAGTCCACAGCTCAGGTTGTCTCCCTCCTTGCTAATTCCCTTCCTAGTCATAAGCCACAAGCGCAGCCGTTCCTGCAGCTCTCGGCAACCGAGGCTGATCTTTAGGTCAATTCTCAGGTCCAACACCACTTGCAAATATTCAGGCTGCTGGTCCTGACAGAGTAGCTGACGGTCCACTACTCCGATCATCTATGTACTCACTGTTTTTGTTCAGGTTTCCCCACTAGTTGGTGCTTAATTCAGTTCTGTATACTTCCTTTCAAAGCTCAGGGCTCTAGGATTATCTTCTGTATCTCTAACAATTGGTTTCTCTTTTCTTTGTTGAAGAGGGTCTGTGTAGCTTGTCTGCTTATGCCTCCATTTTGCTGGAAGTGGGTTTTATTCTTTACCATACTTATTCAACCTATATGCTGAGTAAATAATCCAAGAAACTGGACTATATGAAGAAGAGCATTGCATTAGGATTAGAGGAAGGCTTATTAACAACCTGTAATATGCAGATGACACAACCTCGCTTGCTTAAGGTAAAGAAACTTAAAGCACTTACTGATGAAGATCAGATACTACATCTTTTAGTGTAGATTGCACTTCAACATAAAAAAGAAAAAAAAAAAAAACCAAACAGAAATCCTCACAACTGGACCAATAAGCAACATCACAATAAATGGCGAAAAGATTGAAGTTGTCAAGGATTTCATTTTTCTGAGATCCATAATCAAATGATGTATTTTATTGGGAAAATCTGCTGCAAAGGAACTCCTTCCCTACCCCCACCCCCACATTTTAAAGTGTTGAAAAGCAAAGATATAATTTTGAAAAAGTACATCCAGAACACTCCTTAAAAGCAAGAATGACCATACTTTTTCTCTCATATTTTGGCCATGTTGTCAGAAGGGACCATTCCCTGGAGAACATACTATGCTTGGTAAAGTAGAAGGTCAGCAAAAAAAAAAAAAAAAAAGAGTAGATCATCAACGAGATTCATTAACACAGTGGCTGTGATGATTGGCTCAAATATGGTAAGGATTGTGAGGATGGCACAGGACAGGGTAGTGTTTCATTCTGCTATACATAGGGTTGTTATGAGTTGTAACTGACTTGACAGCACCTAACAAGAACATACTCATTTTTAGAAATGTACCACCTCCCACCCCTTTACCTGGATATCCTGCTGCTCCTGAGTTTCCCAGGCCACTATGCTCTCTACCTTTCCTGGATCTAGAGGCTTGGGGCCTAGAAATGCACCACTAACATGCATAATATTGACTGAAAAGACATAGTCTTGTGTGACACACAATATAATTTAATGTTACCACAAGTATACATGACAATCAGCATAGTTTTGAAAATGCAAACTAA